CCTCTATGAACTGGCCTCATTACTCTGCCCTCCTCCCCACTGATAGCTGATGTGTGGTGAGCGTTCTGGCGCACTATGGCTGCTGTTGCATCATCCAGGTGAATACTGCACATTGGTGGTGGTGAAGGGGAGTCCCCATTACCTGTAAAGCACTTTGAGTGGAGTGTCCAGAAAAGCGCTATATAAATTTAAGCAATTATTATTATTATATGTTGGGTCAATCAAAATAATTTGTTAGAACATTTGACCACAAACTTCTAGATTTGAATTATATTAAACAAGACTGTACAGCATGTGCTGTTTATAACATAGAATAGGTACAGTAGGTAGGATTTTGTCTGTTTTTTGCTTTCTGGGCCTCAGATGTTTTTTACTCTTCTGAAGTGTGAAGAACTGTATTCTGCTCATGAGCGTGTATCAAAAATTCACTTTTTTGTGTGCCCAGACGTGGCAGAAATCATGAGTGATGCGTCCTGGGACTCACTTTGCTGTCTTAATGCAAGCTTTTAATGATCTGTATCTAATGAAAGGAAAACACTTTTTGAAAGAACAACAGACTTATTAAAAAAAAGTGTCTGGGAGGTGGATTTGAGTCTCTTCGGTTGGTACCTTCTTGAATTAAATAGAAATAAATGACTAGTTTTGCATTTATGTAAAGGTTTGCAGATGCTAAGGGAACTTGAGGGCATGAGAAGAGCTTCTACCTAAGGAAAGTATGAATTAAAAAGTATTAAAGCTTTCATTTAAATCTTACATGATCATGATAGCTAGACAGTAATTAACATCCTTCTCTGTTTATGATTTTAAACAAAATAAATTATATAAATAAATTATATGTGATAGGGCATTTGGTCCATTGTCCTCATTTGCTTGTTACTTGCTACATAAGCTACATAAAGTGTTTTATCTAAAATGCAAAATTAGACTCCAGTACCACTGGTTCCATGACAGGTTTTATGGAGTGCTGTTTTTTGCACAGATTGAACCGATGACACAGAAAAGCAACATATTTCGTATTATTTAAACTCCACATGTCTGTCTGCTAATTTATTCTGAATTGCATAACATGCTTTAAATACCGAACACCTGTTGTTGGCTTTTTGCCTATCTATGCCTTCATAACCATGAAATGGCCCAGACCGCTGAACACTGGAAGAGTTCTTTATTTGGAGAGCTAATAAAAGTGGAAGTTCTGATCATTCTAAAGTTGAATGTAGAAAGCATTTTTTTACCACACTAACACATCTTATTGAAGGAGCATGTAAACTACACAGCCTAGTATTCGCTCTGTGTTAGGGAGCTATTGAGTTTAGTCCATTTGATTTGTCTAGATTGCATTTCGAGCTTAGAAACCTACAGTATGTATAATGAAACATTCCTCTGAATTAAACTTGAAGAGAAAGCTTTTCAAGAAAACGTATAGTGACATTTAAAGAATACTTGAGAATCTTGTTTGTCTTGTATCTGTTGGGTTTTAATTTGTTGTCCCTCCCCCACACAACACCCCCCCCATCACCCACTAGAGGCTCCATTTATGTTTTGTTTTTAAATCCCTCTCATTTTATTCCATTTAAGTTCAGGAAAGAAAGCAATCTATTATGCTTGCTCCATTGAGTTATCTTGAAAAATAAATACAAATAAATACTGCATTGCTGTTAGATAAAAGCTTTAAAATTCAGTCAACAATATTTCTGATACTATCTTTTTTTCCTCCCTCTCTTTTAATGAGATTCGGCAACAGGCTTGGCTCTCTTTTATTCTCAAAAGAGAAGTGATGCCAATGTAAGAATTCATTTTCCTGGTTGGGGGCTTGTGTCCTGAATGTGAAAGACTCCTATCTGTGCACTAGATTCAGCTTCTGATTGCAGGACTGACTACTGAATCGGAACCTTTCGCCCGGGCTCCAGTAATTAAATATTTATCCCTCTTGGACCTCCGATAAATTTTAAAAAATTAAAGAGACCTTGAAACCAGCAGCACTAGGTGAAGACTTAAAGATTAGATTATGAAATTCTGAAATATATTCTCTTTCCGTGACAAATTGTTAGGGAGATCACAGGTCCACACATAACTGAATGCTGAAAAGGTTTCCCATAACAATACAATCATTGGACATTTGGTTAAGAAATAGTTTACATCCTATTTTATCAGAGCTCTGATTCATTGCTTTACTGTAGCTATCGTGCTGAATTTCCCCAATCCCTTCCACTGACAGACAGCTTCCAAAGAAAGTTGAAGAACGAAAATCGTTCATTAATGTCTTGTCCTCACTGTCTTTGTGGAAGAATCTCAGGAGATATTTTTATCTTTTACTTTGGATGCACACTTAACCATATTGAGCAACTGTGCTTGCAGTGTTCACAGAAGGCATTGCTTAAGATCTTGTGTCCAGATGGGACGTGCATAATCCAGGTTCACCCACAGCTGGGAGTAACAAGTGCCTCAATTATGATAGCTGAGATAGATACATCAGTGTTTCAAACAATGGGTCAAATGTTTTAGAGGGATCAATCAGTTTGAATGTGGGTGGGCATATCTATTAGTCTAATCCTCCCAGCATTATGCATTTGCATTTAATAATGACAGTTAATGATTAAACACCAAAAGCTGTTTCGAAAGGTTAAGCAGAAAAAACGGCTGGTCCTAATCAGATCAGACTTTGAGTATACAAACCACCAGCTGTGTGGAATACTAAAAAAGCTCAGCAGAATATGAATGTCAAAAGGTTTTTTGTTTTACTAATGATGAGACAAGATTCTCCAAGTATCCTACAACATTTCTCACCGAGATTACAAACTCATAAGCAAGCATCTTTCTTTCAACACGGTGTCAGTGAAACTGACAAAACTGTAATTATTTGAAATAACGTGGCAATGCCTGTCTTCTCAGTTGGCACTGTGACTTCACAAGAGTTTGTTCAGCACTTGTCACGATCACAGCATCACAATAAAGGAATGGTTGCAAAAATGCCTTTTGTAAGAGTGGCCACAAGTATCTATCACCTGTAAATGAAAGTAGAACAAACAGGTTTACTCTATCAGTACTTTAAAAGAGTGTACACATCTATATACTGTATGTGTATGCTTATACATTTTTGTGTCTTGCACTTATTATTGTCCCTGTGGGCGATGTATAATAAGGTTAGACTCATCAGTAGGCCAGTTCAGTCAGAATAAAAGAAGCAGTATTAAGCCTTCCATTGTCTGTTTAATTGGACACACTGAGCAGATTCCTTTGCCTAGTTTTCATTTTCCTAAGGACTTCACACATCAGAAATTATTTATTTTACATTCAAAGCATTTCTTTTAAAAAGGGTGATTGAAAGGTCTTTTTATTGATTGATCTGTTTATAATTCATAGTTGTTATTATGATGCTCACTCTATCGTGGCCATCTGAGCTCGGCAGAATGATGATAAATGGGGCCTAAGCGAGCTCAATTAATAGAATCAGAAGGAGAAAATCACGCCCAGATGCCTTACATTGACCACTGGAAACCCCTGTTTCGAATCAGCACTGTGTCTTCCATGGGGCTGCATGGCCACAAGTAGGAACAGATCAATGGGATATGCGTGTGCATATAACTTCACTACTGCAAGGATGTCTTACATTGTTCAGTCATGCAAACGGGGCTCATCCTTCGAGGTGACCTTCCCTTCTCAGAGGGCAAGGAGACATGAAGGTTCTAATGAAGAAACAAATGAAAGGTTTTAATTGCTCACATTGCTTCGTACTGTACCACCTATGGGACGGTGGGTTGGAGGAAAACTGAATAAAAAATAAGCAGCGGTAGCTCACGTTAAGGTGCCCCCTCTTTACGGCTGAAACGAATGTGGTGACATCAGAGCTTCGTCGCTTCGGCCACAGACGCATCCCCACCCCCCCCACTTTGCTGGTCTCTAGTATCGTTCACGCCGGGAGCTCCCACGGTGGGGGGCGTCAGTTTCGTTCGCGAACACGCTTACTTCTCTGTCGCTCTCCGCCTGCGTTCGGATCGTGTGTGACACCGCGGAGGCAGAGCCTCCATCTGTTCGGACCGCAGGGCCCACCCTCCACGAGCGCTGCCTTGCTCGGCTGTCTGAGGGTGATCCCGATCACAAGCGTTATTTGTTTTAAAACGATAAGTGCATATTTATGGCGAGTTTCGAGTTCGCTTTCAAGGTAAAGGAATCTCCTGGCGGGCATTTCAGCGATCAAGAGCAGGAGGCGGATTGTGTTGCAGTGTGATAACCGCACCCCAAGGAGTGTCGTTATGGCTTTCAGAGGCGCTGCAAAAGGGACTCGGGAAGGTGTTGATACATTGTAAATCACTTCACATTTTTACGAGTACTTTCAGAATGTAATATCCACAGCTCAACCCTGATGCCTTTTCTTTTGAAACACCTCTGAGCGGCCATGATTTGGATTTCTAAAAAGGTCAGGGCCCATAGCAGCACAGATTAGAAATTGCATAGACTCGGGCGTCTCCAGAATATTGTAGTTGCGCGTATACCAGGAGTCACGTCAAGTGAGAAGCGCGTACTCATTTGTCTTGAAGATTTTGTTGTGCAGAACTACAGTACAACAGTTTTGCCTCCTTTGTGTAGAATAAATGCTCTTTCCATTTTAAAGTGTTTTCTCTTTCCAAGAACGAATAAAAGCAAAGGTTGAATCACCTCCTCTTTCTTTCAATTTTCATCCCACAAAACCTGAAGCTCTTTGTTATCTTCCTGTTTTCTCATTTTCTAAAGTTGATTGGTAATGTAATGACAGCTTTCTTCACCTGGTTACATGTATGCTGATTCTGTTTGTTCTACTGTGAAGGAGCTCTTTGTGACTGAATTAGGAGATGAGTTCTGTGGGCCTGATGTTTTCCTATCAAGTTACATCTAAGACTGCCAAAAGATATTCCACTGTTTCTGGGTGGAATGACTTGCATCTTGTATGCAGCAGGCTAACAGATTGGCATGCAAAAGCAATTCCGTATGGAGATCTAAACTGATTTCAATGTGTTCTTTCTCAGCACAGGATAAGCGGTCTGGTTCTTGGATCGGGAAGAGTCGACGGTGGAAGAAGACCAGGCTTCAGTCAACGGGAAGCTCTTTCTTTCCCTGATCTGCTGTCTCCGCTCCCCTGCGTACCGTCCTGTGAATGGTTCCAGGAGATCCGGATTCCATGACTGAGAGGAGGCGACAGTAGGAAAAGAGGGGGGGCCCGGTGTGTGTATGTTGGTGTTTCGTAGCGGCGGTCTTTGATGCGGACAATGTGGTTCGCAACCAGGAGAAGCCGTCCACTTTCATGGTTACGGGATTGGCGCCGGGTGACAGCTGGCTCGTGCCGCGGCACGACCCTGTGGATATTGAGTTTCTGGTTGTCCCTTGCGGCGGTTGAGGGCCAGAACTTCAACCCCACCGTGAACACGCAATATGGGAAGCTGCGAGGTGTGAGGGTTCCTCTGCCGAGTGAAATCCTAGGACCTGTGGACCAGTACTTGGGAGTCCCTTATGCTGCCTCTCCTGTAGGGGAAAAAAGGTTCATGCCCCCCGAACCTCCATCCTCCTGGTCGGGTATTAGGAACACCACCCATTTTGCACCTGTTTGCCCACAGAATATTCACAATGCTGTCCCGGAGATCATGATGCCCATATGGTTCACCTTTAACCTGGATATAGTTGCCACATACATACAGGATCAAAATGAAGATTGCTTGTATTTAAACATCTATGTTCCAACTGAGGATGGTGAGTCTGGGTACACTGGATACAAACCAAAAAAAGAAAACCGTTCTTCCGTTTTCTTCTATTTTTATTTCTATGGTATTTTCCTGTCACCTAAGTATTGTGTTTGAAGCATGAAGTGTTGTCTGCTGCATGCTGGTGTCTGTGTGTCCACCATGTCAGTCTTCCATCTTGACTTGACCTCTTCATAAAGTTTCTCATCAACTGCCCCTTCCATGGCACTGTTATGGGTTCCTCTTTTGTGCTACAAAAAAAAAGGAAAAAGATATAATTACAATGCAAAAAGAAAAAAAGCAAAACTCAAAGAATCAAACAGATTGGAATTGAACGCCTTGGTGCATCTTCTTCTTTGTTCTGTCTTGATTGTTTTGGGGGTTTGATCAACCTGCTTCATTACAGAAGGGTGCTCTTTAGGTTGGTGAAATATTCTGTCTGGTACACGGGATGCCTGTGGCATCAATCAATACAATGTAAGACCCCTTACTCTCCTGGTTTTCAACACAGTCACAACAAGCTGTCCGATGTTGGCCTGTTACTATATGGTGAAAATGCTGAAAGTTGTAAGTGTGAACATCCAGGCACCACAGAATAAATTTCCCACAGGAATAAAATGGAGCGTATTATCTCTAGAAATAACTAGCATTCACTGCCAAAGCCCAGGTTGTCTCAAGTTTTGAAAAAAAAAAAATACATTTGAGTCTGTCTATCTTTGCTGTTGTAATGTCCTTAATAGCATCTAATCTGTATAGAATGGTCAGCAGTATAAAATTAATCCTTTCTATATGTAGCATATATTTTTCCCCGTTGATTTGGAGGGGGAGCAGCTTATCTCTTAAGTGTGCTGCTTTGTTCATTTTTTAGTACAGAAAATAACATATTGTACTTCAAGCCCTTTCCTCCACCTTGCTTTACCACTGATAACGAGAGCTGAGAGCTGAAGCACACGAGCCTGTGTCCATTCCCGCTGCATTTGACCAGCCAGTCTGTAGCACCGTCACCAGGGTAGGGCGCTGTGATTAGCATTTCAACTGGTTTTGCTTCCCCAACAGTGTGGTAATGGGTCTTATATGGATGTGCATGTGAAAATGGGCTTCTTGTGTCCCAGGGTGCCATTTCTAGAGAATATTTCTGCAACCGACCCCCCCGTTACTCTCTGGACAGTCCTCTTGTTGTTGTTGATGACGGGGGAAGGTGGGCGGGGGGGTGGGGAGGGGGGGTTTCGGCTGTTCTTGCATGCGTCCGCTGTTTCCTGTAGAGCCTCCTGTTATTTTGTAGTCTTTTATTCATTTTACAGTAAAAAGAATATCCAAGGAATGTGCCAGAAAACCCAACAAGAAAATATGTAGGAAAGGAGGTATGTAGCAAGCCGACAACGAGAGAAACAGAGAGAAGAGAGGCGACTGGTACGTCCTCTCAGAAGCCTGCAAGATAACACCATCAATCAGCTTCTAAATTAAACTGCTAAATGGGATGAACAGAGCCTTGCAACGCAGATGAATTATGTGTGTATGTGAGTGTGTGTGTAAGCTTGTATGTGTTTTTGAAATACTTCTCTGTGTCTTCTGTATTTACATTTGGATGCTGTCTGCTGCACATGGGTGTTAGCTGGTGCTAGATTTAAATTCAATGAGCCGGATTTTAAAGTAAAACTTTAAAAAGAAAATTCTATTTTTAAGCAAAACGACTTTTTTAGAAAATTACATCTCCGCCAGCGCAAATTAACTGCCTGGCACTGAATGTCCCAGGGATTTTCTGATTATTATTTCTGAAACAACGTTTTTAGTAATTGTTTTACTTTGCAATGATCTTTCTGCCAGGCCTGTGAAGAGCAATAGTGTTACACACAGCCTTGTGTGATCACACATCCTTTTATTTTTGTGTTATCGGTTTACAGCTTCCCATCCTGCCACAGGAAACTAAGTGTGGCCGCATAAAGCTCCAGCACGGTTTGATTATGGGCCGGTAATGAAGAATCTTTCCTACAGTGCTGATCCAGCCCCAGTGGCTGCTGCTCCCAAGCCAGAACAAAATGCTAAATGTGTTCTGCAGTTCATCTTCAGAGTCCTGCGCCGCACAGCCTGTTATCTGTCACGGAAAATATGTCACGGGCTCCGTTTTAGCGTGCAAAAGTAAATACTGAAAGAGGCCTAGTCTGTATCCATGTACAATTCGCTTTTCCATATTTTGAAATGGAAAAGGAAAGATTCCAATCTCATCTGCTGTGCAGAAGAGTCAGCTGTCTGTTATTCCTCCCTCCTTGCAGCAGTTTGCATGCATGGTTTTTTTTTCGTAAATTAGTTTCTAAGACTGACCTGCCTTCAAGGCAGCTGTTGCCTTTCACACAGTTCCATTTCCCAACCAGCAGGATGCAGAGGTACTCTTCATCTTGACCCTCAGGGGGCATGATGTTCAAAATATCTGGCTCCTTTGTATTCTCCGCTCTCTCCACTGGCAATAATGCTAGTCTGGAGACCATGTTGCATTTATTTGAGTCATGTTTGGGACAGCGAACACGTTAGATCAAGAAACAAAGGCAAAGCAGCCTTAAAGGCAGTTGAGGTTTGGAAGGTAAATGGATGTGCAGGAATAGGTACACTATGTTGCAGTGGTTCACAGCAATGTCAAAGGTGCAGTTAGTTTGGTCTTCTTAAAAAAAACAAAGCATTCTTCAAAAATATATTGCATGGCGTGTGGTTTAAGAAAAGACATACCTGCGCTGAAGATTGGCAAGAAGCCTTTCTGGTTACCATGCTTAGTTCGTTTAGCCAAAAGAATTTGCCTTGTACACGTGTGAGAGTGTGAATGTACAGTATGTGTTTGCATGTGCAGAAATACGTACAGGTTCATTGGCATTAGTGACTTTGCTCATGAGGGTTGATCAGAAAAGTCTATAATTTATAAATCATTATAAGAAACAATAAGATATAGAGATCTTGAATATGATATTATACATAATATATTAATATGATCCAATTAATGCAAAAATATTATATAATTCAGTTATATACGATTGAATATATTGAATATGATCTGCTCTCCCAAAATGCAAGCTCATTATGGTAAGGTCTCATGAGGTTTTTTTTTATGTTTCTACTCCTGATAGATAGACACTTTATTGATCCCGTGAGGGAAATTGCAGAAAGGTACAATTCTGTGGTACATATGATCATATGTCCATATTTGTAAATTCCTACTCTAGAGCGCAGGAGTTACTTCGAATCACTTCTAAACATTGTTACTTCTGATCCATTCAAGCTTAATTATATAATTAAATTCATGAGGCAATTAATGATGTGGCTGTGCCAAAACATGGCGGCAATGGTAGTATGCTTTGGTCATGTGTTAATGAGAGATCAAGGGAGTATACCTTAGAAAAAGACAGGGCTTCAGACAGAAGGCAAAGAAGAGCAATGCAATATGTACTGGTTAATATATCCTTGTGAGTTTTAGTTGACCGATCTTACTCTCAGTTGAGTCCTTGTTTTAGCTTTGCAGTTTCGTCTTTCCTCTTAAACAGGAGCAAAAGCTAAAAATAACATGGACCTTAAACAATGTAGATTTTCAGCTACGTTTAGTAGCTCGAAAGTTGGCAGCTCAATGCATTTAAATTTAAATTCCTGACTTTAAAATTCGTCTTATCAGATTTATGACAGAAAAAAAAACAACCTTTTCCAATAATTCAGTCTGTTTTGGCACCTTGGAAGAGCAGTGGGGTACAGCTGCTTTACGAGTTCCTGAAATGACAGAGGAAATCAATTTCAATAAAGATTTTTCTTCTGCTTATTACTTCCCTCACACCCCATGTGAGCAGCGTTGCTGATGGATGATATTATGTCTTTGATTAAAGTCTACTGCAGGTATCGCTATGGCCCTGTTTGTCAGAAATCAAGGTCAATGTTTACACAGCAGTTAGCACTTTGATAAGTTAACGCCATACAAGTTTTTTTTTTTTTGGAAAGCAGGAGCACTGTATTAAAAAGCTTTGTGTGAACACCAGGGAGTTTAAGCAAAGATTTCCCATAAACACAAATGTTTCATTAAAATTGTCTGGGTTTACTTTTATACAGTTTTGGACAAAATCTCCCATAGAGGCCCTGATGTCATGTCAGTGATTTACGTAAAACTGCCTTTAACGATTTTGTTATTTCCAGTTAATAATAATCATCATCATCATCATCATCATGATGATGTGACGGCAGCCAAAGTGTACTGTACCAGTACGCTCAACACACGCCAGCTATCAAGAGACAAGAAAGCCATTTGTAGCCAATTAATGGTGGGGATTGGTAGGAGGCCATGATTGGTAAAGGCCAGGGGGGTAATTTAACTGTGTGACTACTGGAACTACTACTTTTGCCCACAAAAAAGCACTCTTTAGAAGTAACTACTCAAAATTTTATGCCAGCATGCATGCCGGAGTTAAGAGGTTATGACATCATTTACAACATTCCTACCTGTTGTTAAAGCATTGTAGTGTCCCAGTTGGATAGGACCAAGAGCAGAGAATTGCACAGGGCACGCACAACCTCACTTTTCCTTATGACTTCCCTCTGCTTAGTTTTCTAAATAAACTATCGTCTAACCTTTAGAAAATCTTTAAGGTGATATCTGAGACTCTTATTGTCACATTGTCTTTTAGGCATGCATGGACGCTTTGAATTGGAATCCATACTGAGGTGATCACAGGATACTCGTAGTGTAGACGTACATATTAATCTTACCCAAGAGGGAAAAAATACACCTCTCTTTATGTGACAGGGATTGTAGCCCTGTACGTATCTGCTGTATGTGCATCTATCAGAGGTGACAGAGTGGAGATAAATCACTATTCTCATAACACTACATTACAGTCAATGCAAAAAGAATAGGATAATCGCAAAAGCTAACTGCCTTTTAGCCATGTGCAAGTTGTCTGGTTTATTTTCTGTGATGTTCTGATATAAAAAATATTAAAGTGAGAAGGTGCGAGGAGTTATTCTATACAAAAACATCTCCACTTGATAGAAACAGGTTTATGCAGGACTTCAGCTAACAAAATCATATCTACTGTGTTGCAGGAATACTCAAAATACATTACTTTTAAGAAATGATCCCCAGAAGAAGATCAATTTTCAGATAAACTTCAAATTATGTTTTCCATTCTCTGCGAGGGGCTAAGGGTATTTGAAGGCTTGAGTAACCTTTGTAAAAGACATCCAGGATCCCTGCTTCAGAATATTGGCTCTCAAAATACTATTTTGCTAGAAAAGCTTTAACACAGCCACACAACAGGCATCACTTCCGCGTTGTGTGCTGTGTTCGCTCCGCGAGTAGATGATGTTTCTCATCTTTGGTGTCCTCTGTTTAGTTTTCCTGTTCTTGTTCAATAACATATCCTCGAGTTTGCACAGAGCTGGTCATCCCGAAGGATCTAAAGTGCATTACATACAGTACTGTATATGGGACGGGACCCACTACACAGCAGATAAGTGGAGAAGTGAGAAATGACCAGCTCAATTAAAGCGGGGATTTAAGGATTCCGATAGTACAAGCCCAAAATGGAATTTTGGGACACCAGGATTAAAAGCCTGCTCTTGATCATGGGATATTGAATGATCAACTAGTCAGAACCTCAGTTTACTGTTCATCCAAAGGATTACAGCTCCTATAGCACAGTATCCCCCCTTGCAATACCAGGGCCAATTATCATCCTATGGAAGAGCACTATCTTCCTCAGAGATTGCCAATCCCAGTACTGGAAAGGCTCAGCCTTGCTTACCTTCTGAGCTCTGATTAGATCAGACTACAAAGGAGATTTTGAGTTGATAATATCCAGATCTTTTTTCAAGATAGTTTTATATTCCTGACATAGCAGCAGTGAACAATGTATATGATTCCCATGTGTGCTTTAAACAAGAAAGTATAATTTTGTCCAGATTGGCATCAGCATCTTATTTGCATTTATGGTTTGAAGAAGGAGGGGCCAGAAGAGCTACTACTGGGATAACTGGCTTGTGGCCACTAAATAACAACATTGCTTTCTGATCCTTTTATGCTCTTCCTATCATTGTGAAGCAGAAATCATCACCAGGGAAATTCCACTGGGTTTGGGCCACTGCAAGATGTGATACTTTTTCTCACTCTGTTGCTGTTGCGTCAGAAATCTTGCACTGCATCCTGAGTCAGGGGCTCCATCCTCTTTCCCAGTGAAGCCGCTGTCACTTTAACTCTGGACCCCAGATGTTTTCAGCAGACCTTTTCCCAAAATCCCTCCCTCAACTTCAGAGGGTACAATCAAATGGACCGAAAACCTGAATCTGTCTGCCTAATGGATGTTCAGCCCTAAATGGGTTCTTACTCACAGTATAAGATATG